AGGGACCCTTTGAAATTGCAATAGCTAAGGGGTGGCTCATGGTCGGCTCCTTTGATCCTGTCTTGTATACGCGGATTCGAGAAAACCAAAAGCTCATTATGACTCATGGTGGTGGATACGGGGCCACCGTATATATAGACAGCGTTACGTTACCTGGCGCACGGCTTAAACGATTTAACAGGTGTACAATAGACAAATTGGTGTGTGCTCGTCCGCACGAAATCGAATTTGGATAGTTGCAGTTTTTTTTTTTAATTTCTTAGAATTTTTTGATTGGAAAAAATCTTTTTTTTTTGTATCATTTTTGACGAAGAGGTGGAGGGGGGATGCTGCAAAAATAATTTTGAAAAAATATACAAATTTTATTTAACAAAGCGACCAGCTACCTGCTGCGAGTATACTGTTTTAACAGGGAATTTCCGTATACTGCAGGATATGGCTGCATGCTGAGATTCACCTTGAAAGAATATATATATAGGATGGCCATTATAGTGCGAGAGAAAAAGAAAGGCACTCAGGAGTGTTTACCAAAAACGTTATGGTTCCAGGGGATAGAGTCGAATATTTCGCAAAATTCAGTAAAAGCCGACAATATAGAGACACCCTAAAGTAATGAACTCTCTTCAATAGTCGATTCCAACGTTCTTACCTGCTCTCGGATGGTTGATAATGCAGTAGAAAAAAAAAAAAGACAACAAAGTTTAGGTATTCGTGTAAGCGAGTATTTCAAGGTAAAAAAATGCAAGAGAATTTGTATCATAAATCATAAAGGCACCGTGCGCAATGGAATGGCACCTTTAACTATAACTATTAGCCAATGAATTGGACGAGGGTACGAGGGCAAAGGCGCGTTTCTACGTGAAACTGTCGGAGGACGATGTTACTGCTCAGCTATTTTTGTTTATTCCCTAATTACGGTGATGCCCTTTAAACTTTATGCCGGTCCAACGGCTGACTGGGGTCTCATAGTTACGAGAGTAGTATACTAAAAAAAAATTTGAAAAAAAATAGCTTGAACCTTGACGCAAAAAATTGCTGGTGGTAAAATCTTCAAGGTTCCTTCACGGGATGATTTTTGAGTGAAGCTCGAGTACATAGTGCCAATAGAGGGTACGTGAGAAAACGGAATGCTTCGTATGGTGTAAATTTTGAAAATGTATTATACCCGTTTTTTCGAGGGGTACTGATATCCGAAAAAATTTATTAGGTCTAGGCAGCAACTCTCGAATCGTAAAAATACACGGGTAGTCATTAGGGTGGGTTTCACGGGTATACCTACTTGAATATTTTGAAAGGATGCGTTTTTGGATTGTTTGAAGTAGTTTTTGGGTAAGAATTGCTGAAGTGACCCACTTTCCATTGGAAATCGGGAAAAACATTGAGGAGAATAGTTGGGGTGCTGAATGAGTAGGGGAGGAAAAGAAGGTGGAGGAGTGTAAAGGTAGAAGAAAAAAAAATTGTAAGAAAAAAAGGAAATTCAGGACGCAGCTGGGAGTCTTCGGGAATTATCGCGTGGAGGGATAAGGTCCTTATGTGAAAAGGAAATATATATATATTCTTCTTTTTTTTTCCTCTTGTATTCTTTATTATTCTTTTCTCGGCATTCGCATACTCGATGGGATCAAAACCTCTAATTTCGTGCATAATGGACCTGAGGAGGACTTACGCGGGGGGTTGCTACTCGAGAAGTCTAGTTTCAATCGTGTGGGGTTCGAGATGAATCTCGAATGTCGGCTGCGAGAGATCCCTTTTTTCCAGAAATACCAAAAATTCGATGGTACTGACCCTAACGGTGTTTACGATTCACTGTGCCAGGAACGGAGGCTCGAGGCTATTGGGTACAGTTCGAATTTCGTTATTGTCTGCATGAACTCGTGAGAAGTCGTACTAGAGAAAAAAAAAATATATTAAGGGTCGAAAAAACGGTACTTTACACAAAATTGGGTCAGAGACCCTCGAACCAATCCTGTCGAAAATACCGGAAACAGTAATAACACTGTCAGTCAAAAATTGACATATTTCGGAAATATTCATTTTTCGATAAGTACTCCGGTATCGTGAACGTCGAATAAATAAATATCCCCCGATGGACCTTATTAAATTACCTAACAGATGAATTAATCACGGGAGAAGAATTTCATGAAAAATTTTCGAGTTTCCTATACCAGCTGTAAGAGTGACGGAGACAGTCTTATACGGATTTATATGTAGAAGAAAGAGACAGACATACTTTTAATAAAATCATGGACCAAGCTACCTCTTAGAAAAAGAAGGTGAATGCAATTTCTTTTAATGAATAATTTCTACGTCTTAATGGGCTTGGTATCAGCTACCTACTGTCATAGAAATATATGTATTACGATTTCAATATCAATCGTATGCACGTGTGAATCATTTCACAGCATGTGTGATCGTTGATGACGTTTAAAAAAAAAAAGCAATATTTGCACATACATGAAAGAGATATTAGGTAGTTACTGTCATTACGGGAGACGTCAGGCGCCGCAGGTGGCCGAATGGCGGTAGCCTACCATACCCATAGAGTGGGTAGACAGGTCGTCGGGTCTTATGGTGAGAGGGTCATGGGGTCAGGAGGCACGAAGCCGGCGGTCCGTTATACAGGGTGTCCCAGGAATGAAACGACGAAAGATAATGTAAGAACAATTCGCTAGCACACGCGTATTCAGATTCGAAAATGGTTTTGAGAATGCACCTTACTGATGGTTATCCTTTGACCAAGGGCTGCATAACCCTTTTCAATACACCTGCATGTCATCGTTACGTATACCAAAGTGGATTATTTACAAAGGTAAATGATCCAAAGAAACCCTTTAGCCCGGGACACAATTTCCATACAAAGTCACCCCTAAAACAGGTTGACCCATTGAACTCTAAAGGGGTTGGGCACCTGTGGGACATATTCACGCCATGCAAATACCTGAGGCAATGAATAAAAAAAGGTTCGGGTAGGGTTTACTTGTATTCAGATTAGGGGGTAGTAACCCCTTCGGGCGCCACTTCATCCCCTCGACGACAAGTGACATTTAAATGCGAAGGCATCCCTTTGCCACTTGATCTCCCATTCAAAAATCATATTCCCAATGACGCCCTTTAAGGGTTTTCAAGATTGTATTATCCACCCATTAAATACTCGTAGAGAGTGTATAGGGACGATTTTAAAGATCAACCCCCCCATCTCACGGCGAACGACGAAAATTCGTATACCAAGGACAAGCAGATATTATTCAAGGGGTGTATCGCGAATTCGCGCCAGTTGGCACTATAGCGTACGGGGAGGGGGTGGACGGTGGGTAAGGGGAGGGTGAGGGGGTGGCGTCATTAAAATCAATACGCGAGCCGTTCTCTCCCTCTGTGGCTCCGGCACTCACTGCTTCTTACGTTGGGGAGGATTGGCGCGAGGGTCGGTGGGGAGAGGGTGGCTGCCTGGCTGGCTTTCCCACCCTTACAACTTTTTGAGGGAAGGCTTCGGTGGGGCGAAGCGTGATAAGAAAAAGAAGAAGGGTGAGCTGCGAGAGAGTACGCAGTACGCGAAGGGCAGTGGGAGGACGCGCATAGTTCCTATGACCAATAAGAGCCACTTTAAAGCACCTTTTTACGACGTCACTGCGCATGCCGAATTCAAATCTTGGGGAGCGCGCGGATTCTGGTGGGGGTTCCACGGGAAGCCGCGCTATATGGAAATATGATAGGAAGCATAAGGGTGGTGGGGGTACCTGCCTCGCGAGATATGGCGGACGCGCATAAATGTCCTCTGGCCACCCTCGCTGGGTACCGAAGATATTTTTATCTGGATTATCTCGCCGGATAAGATGATTACATTAATTTTCTATCGGATAATAATTATTCGTCATACCTAAGACATGCTTCGGTCGGCCGTAAAGGGGCTGATCGATGCTCGAAAGGTACCATTTTACTTTGGTCTCTGTTGCCTCGAAATCAGGTTGGGGTTACCTGTTCTACCTGTAGTTCGGTCATGAAGGTTTCTCGGGTCGTGATCTTTGGATAAGTATCCGTTAAGGTAAGGGTGGGATGTTCTTGGCTATTGTTCTCGCACAAGGGTTGAAGGGGGTGATCGGAGGGTCGACGGTTAAAAGAATTTCTAAAACAGATCGTCAAGAGAAATGGCAAAGGGGTGGAAACGTATAGGGATGCTCTACCGTCGGGCTGAACGATCCAGAATTCGCTTGGGGGTTAGAAGTGAGACTCTCTCGTATAGGGGTGGTCAAGCGTGGGAGGACTCTCGCGGACAATGGCCTAACTAATTCCTAACCTTAGAAACCCTTACCTACTATCCGCACTATCTCCTACTATCAACACTGTGCGTTGGGAAGATTCATCTTCGGCCACGTGGCACTGCTGAAACTCATTGGCATCCTCACCGCACATAACACCCTTGTACCTAACCCTTGAACCCTTCGAAACTCGTACGGTGCCCCCTGAGAAGGCCCCAAGATGAAGAGGACCTGTTCATTAAAATTTGCTCTTTGGTTTAATAAAAAAAGGAAAAATTCTTATCGATCCTCGATCCATATTGATCCATGAGAATAATTTTAATTCTAAGATAAGTTAAAGACCGAATCGAAGGTGGGTCTTATCGGTTTATCACAATGTTAATAGGGCCGTCGTTATTGCCAAGATTATAGAAACTAAGTAAAATCCTGAAGATACGTAGATACGTAAGACGGACTCATCGCGACTCGCGAGAAAAAGCCGCGCGCGCTTCTCGCGACGTTCGGGCGTGGTTACGCTGTCGTGGAAACGATACGATTGGCCATTACGTTTCCCACCATTGGTCGCGAAGCCCCCTCTACTTCCGTGCATGAACCAGGCGGTCGACGCTCGTCGCCCGTCGCTCGGCGACTACCTACCCTCGATTTTTTTCCCGGCCTAACGACTCCCCCACCTTGTGGACGGCCGGCCGGCCGGATAGCCGGCGACGTCCGTGTACCTCCTGCCGAAGCCTAGTGTAGCTGCACACATGCACGCGACAGCATCTATCCTGGCTCGGTCGTCGTGCTCGCTCGCGCCTTCTTCCTTCCGATTGCGATAATATAACGGGGGCCGCCGCGGCATCAGTGACTGCCGCCACGTCCTACGGAGTGCACCCACGCTCTTTAGCATATCTCCGTACGTCTATTTAGCCACGTGCTCACGTAATCACAAAGATTTTTATATTTTCACCGACTGACGATGTCACGCGTTCACTCTTGACCTCGTGATCCGCAATCGTTGCTTCGCTACTGGACATTGGTACACGGAAGTCGCGACGCGAATCGGCGGAAGTTTCAGCAGAAGGTTGTGACAGGACGTGTGAGACAGAGGCGGGAGACGTCGGAGTGGATATAGAATCTGGCCTCGCGCCAGGTCCGCGTGATTTGGAAGGTGTTATCCTCGGGCCGATGACAGCTACTGAACGAGAGTGAGGTTACCCGGACCGGTGACACGGTCAGGGACGGTGGGTGGTGCGTCCAGGTTCGAACTAGACGGCATGACTGGTACGTAAGGAAACGCTAAGTGGTAGGAGAGGTTAAGGTGGAGGAGGACGAGGAGGAGGACGAGGACGAGGAGGAGATGGCGGTGTCGGAGGTGAAGAAGGGGGCGTAGAAGGTGTCGGAGAAGGTGCAAGTGAGAAGGAGGTTTTCGTGAAGTGCTAAACGCGGGTGACTTGTGCTAGTGACAGGAGTATACCGGCTATATACACTGACAGTGACAGGAGACGGTTGATGCATTCAGTGTTCGACCGAGTGTTTACGTCGGCCTCGAGGAAGGTCCGCGTGTTCCCCGAAGGGCCGAGGTCGATCCAGTAGTTAGGATTATAAGAAGAAGCTCAGCACGTTGGATCTCGCGGCGGTGACAGCTTACGGGGGCGTACCCGGTCCCAGGGTCGCGCTGGCGGGTACCGGGGTCCTAGCGCTACCCGGTCACCAGATCCCTGCGAACACGCCAGCATCCCCAAGGAGCAAGTCGGCAGGGTTGGCGGGCCTGGACAGCGAGGCGGTACGTCGGTGGGTCGCCGAGGCAGCCAGGACAGTCCGGCAGATACCATCTGCCGGTTCCCATCATCGTCATCATCAACGGGAGCAACATCAGAGACATCGGTCCCAGCATCATCAGAACGACAGGCATCAGCATCGCCAGGAGGAGCCTCTCGGTACCGGATACGTTATACCCTCGATGACGCAGACGCCGAGCATGCATCTCCTGGAGAACAACGACCTCGTCGAGGCGATGGCGCAGCATCAACAACATCAGCAGCACCAGCAGACCCAACATCAGAGCAGTCCCTCGCGACAGGCGCAGCAGTCCCAGCAGATACAGCAACCTCAGCAGCACCAGCATCACAGTAAACAGAAGCAGACCAGTCCTACGAACAATAACACTATCGAGGTCTGGAGGTCGATACAGGGTCATCAATGGTGGAGTCCACCCAGCGCGATACATCAGGAACAGGTGTCCCAGACCCAGGTATCTGGCTCGGCCATGTGCCAGCCCCGTAGGATCACCGACAATCAGACCTCGGCCGAGGTCGATCAGCCCCTCGACTTCTCCGTTGGTTCCCTTCAGCAGCAGATCATTCAGGAACGAGCCAGGACTGTTCACGAGAGACTCCAGGGGCGGATTCACGATAACAACAACGGCTCGTCCCTCGCGCTGAAGACTATTCGCGCCACGGGACGACGTAGTTACAGTCCTAGTGACGAGGCCAGCACCAGCGGCAGCGAGGACGAGGGCGTATCTACGGGCGGAAGTCCTTCGGGACCTCTACGGGGCGTCGAGACCGGTAAGTCACATCATTTCTAATCGCAAACGTACCTTTGTTTAGGGACCCCCTATTCGTAGAGCTCGGTACGACCGTCAAAAGAAAAAAAACATTGTCTCTTATACTCGTATAGCTCAATCGACGACTGAATTACTCGTTGTCGTACTGCCAAATAATTTGACTATCGAAATTCATTGTGATCAGCTTGCGCGTAAGCGGAGATACCAGAGTCATTGCGTAAAACATTCGATCTGATAAGTGTTGAAGCAGACGGCGGATTCGAAGCAAGTTTTACGCTGCAACTTGTCTCGTTTAAGGTATACGTACACGTGGAGGGAAAAAATGGGCAATTTCACTGCTTCGCTAATCACGCCTTTAATTCGCCATTGGAATTTAATGAGGGGTCGTTGATACCTAACCAGACGTTGTTTCCTTCCTTTTTTTTTTTTTCATCTGTCTTCTCTCTCGCTCAACTCTTTTTAACTTTTTATCATTTTTCCATCGATCACCTTGTTTCACTCGCGGACCGTATATTAAATATTCCGTCGGCACGAGCTACTCCATGGCTCATCGTTTCTACGCCCTCTACCGGGTGTCCGTAAAGTGCGACGTTCTCATTCTTCGAAATTGAAAGCGACGGGAACTGGCGTAGGGAAGAGAAAAAAAAATACACCAAAAACGTCAGCTGTCAATGCAAAATCTCCCTTCTGCACGCAACCAAACACACCCACGTCCCTTCGAAACTCATCGCTGTATGTAGCCATTGTCAGAAAAATTCGTGCATTGTGCGTCCGGCCGTGTGCATTGTCAGACCCCGTGCACAGCATCCCTCGACCGATGCGACTTACCTGCTATTGGACGTTTTGCGTAAACGGGATATGAGGTATTTCCCATTTACATTCTCGCCCGTTCTCGGAAGGGAAAGCTTGAAAAATATTTGTAAGCTCTCATGGAAATACGACCGACAGCACAAACTTGCTTTTCGCACGCATTCTATACTTTTCTGCATCAATCCCTGTATACGTATATACATATACACACGTATGTAATTTTTATACCTAAATTCGTAGAACGAAGCCTATCACTGTCCGACGTAGTATCGTCGACCAATCGTTGCTCTTTATTTAATTCCCCCTCAATCACCACGATGACCCTCTGATAATTTAATAAACGACTGTAATCAGCACTTTGTTTATTCGTCTCTTACGTACACGACAGACGCTGTATCTCTGTAATCCATGAAAAGTAAAAAAATTAATGTATCCAGTCAATAGGTAAATATAACGACAAACATATGGCAAGGTGACGGGCGCTTGAGAATGCCGTGATAAATTAATAAATAATAATTGCAGAAATTACCGAACGATAATGTCAGGCGATAACGTTCGATTATGCCAGGTACTATCTGCCGTGCAATTAGTTACGTAGGTTTAGTATTGTGACGATTGGCTGACAGGCGTGTAAATCTTGACTCTTGGGAGAGGGAGAGGGGGAGGGAGAGAGAGAGAGAGAGAGAAGAAAGAGAAAAAAAAAAGGAGAAAATGAAGTCTCGACGTTGTCGATCGTCTTGAGTTTTATCAGTTTTAATCGGGGTCGAGTAATCTACGGAAAACTATTGCGACAGTCGGATTCGTGTGGATACACCCGCAGACACGTAGGTAGCTACTCCGCTTGTCGCTTATCGTTGGGTATGCGTTCAGCTTAATTATTAACTTTTGATCGAGATTTTGATTTTTTTTTTTTTTTTTTTTTTTTTTTTTTTTTTTTTTTTTTTTTTTTTTTTTTTCAAAATTTTCGTTTGACACGTGCGATTATTCAAGTGGGTAGTTTTCATATAGATTGTCGCCGATCTTCCCACGATATACGCGTATCGCGTTTTAGAATTAGTCGGGAGCATGGAAAGGAGGATGATGGGCACTGCTGCGGTATAAAGGTGGAATCGATAGCCTATCAATATCAGTATGTACGTTTTGATTAAAAATCGTTTGGCAGATAAGCCACACAATTTGCCGATCGATCCAGGGGAATTGATCTACACGATGTCTCCATTAGGCGATATCATGCTGAAGTCATTTTGTTATTACGATGACTCTATGACGTTTTGTAGAATTTTTTTTTTTTTTTTTTTTTTCGATACTCGTGATTGGATTTAGGAAAATTTTTTTCTCACCCGTTATACGCGTTTGGGATGTCTAGGGGAATTTTTTCTGATCGCAGATTGTTAATGCTAAATTTCCTATATCTTGTTTCGCTTTAATATACGACATTATATGCAACCGGCTTATACAGTATGCGAGGTGAATATAATGGTGTAACACGACGCGCATTTGATTCTATGTTATTTACGGACAGGTGTAATAGTGCACATAATGTTTATCACATAATTAGATTCTATGATATGCTCGGTTACTAGACGTTAGGTAAAGTGACTCGTTATGGGAGGAAGTGATATCTAGTATCTTTGTAATATACTGTACTGTACGTGCACGCGACGAATGGAGTCCTGTGATATGACGATTTCACGTTTTTATAAATTATATTTAAATTTTCGAATCGCTCTGATATCTTTCGAACGGACTTGATAACTAGGAAATATTAGGCGAATGATTTATCGTTGGCTGAAATAATCAGCCGGTATCCTTTATCAATTTCTCGTAAACAGGGATTATCGATTGGCGGATCGACGAGGACTGCGATAGTTGTTCGAAGGCGGAAATTAGTTATTATAGATGGATTTCGGTGCAATTTAGTCGATAACGTGACGCAAGCGTTCATTTGAGATAAAAGGAGGTAATTTGGTATTTTGAAAAATTTGCAATTATATATTTTTTTTTAAGATTTCGCGCGATGGCGACTGGGGGACAGGTAAAGTAATTCGAGTAATCGTATTTAATGCGTTTCACAATAATTTTTTTTATGGATACTGATAACAGCCTATGCAACGAATCGGTCGCACCTAATAGAGCGATAAGGACTGTAATTATTTCGGAATATCGTTGATAACGGGTTAAAACGCAACGTATAATAAAATCGTCGCAGTGTCATATGGCGCTCTTGTCGAAAATTTGATCTAATTTTAGGTCACGAGTAACGTTGATAACACGACTCGTTATCAGGATGTCGTATCAGTTCGTAAAATCAAAAACATTGCTCGTACTTATAGTAATTCCTATTACTCATCGCTGTGCGACGATATTTGACGGTTTTTTGCGCAGAGATGCGCAAAATTTTTTTTTCAATCAAATAAATGGCAGTTTACGTAGGTAATGAAAAATTTTAAAAAAATTCATTAGTCTTACGAAATTGTTCCAATTTTTTTGTGAAAAATTTCAAAGCTCTAAATCTTAATTTTACTGATTATCATTAATCGTTGATGACCGACTTTGTGAGACTCCGCCGATGATTGCCGTCGCATTGAGAACGGCCCGTGCAAAAATGTATTCGCGATAACTTTCCGATTCCTGGTAAAATAGACACCCAGGCTTCTCCTAGAACGAAGTACCGTACTCCACGTATGATTTCATAGAGTTTGCACAATCATCGGTAAATTTGCGTCTGACAAATTATTTCGCAAAAGTGTCTCGATGCTATGGCATGTATACCCATCTATACTCAGCCGTGGCAATAAGAATCAGGTATTTTATCGAAGCCGCGTCACTCGAAAAACCAAGGCTTGGCACTTGGTTCGAGATAAAGAAATTTTTTAAGTACGCGACCGGAAGTGATAGAGCCGTTCACCTCGGATGACTAATAAGCATCGTTAACTGAAGATCATCGTAGCAGAGCGATACATAATCCATATACATATATCAATGACACATACGGACAAATCGATTCCATTTTGAAAATTAATTTGGTCACTTTGCGTCTATAAAAAAGAATTTTTGTCAATTCCTCAAATCGCATACCGGAAGTGACGAAGATACGTAATGCCACGTGACAATGGCATTTATCAATTTTTCCTATACGCAGAATCCCAATATACCTGTTTAACCTGATTCGCTAGGACAATACAAAAGGTATAAGGAAGGCCTAAGGTTAGGTTAGACCACCGTAGATGGAAGAAGCGACCAAACATCACCTGTTATATCAGGACACGCGTGTCCGGCGAAAAGTATCTGGTAACACATATGAGATTATAAAGGGAGCATGCGAGGGAGCGTTGGGGACGCAAAGGGAAGTCGGCATGTCTGAGCGTTACGTAGGAAGGGCAGGTAAAAGCCCTTGGATAAATCTTAGGTTTTGTATCCTGGATACCTTGGATAGGTCAGGCAGGCCAGACCGGGCAGGCATGGTGTAGCCAACAAGGGACAAGGTTCTAGGTAGAAGGTGGATATATCCTATAGATAGGCCCTATAGCTCTGCTCACGTGGCGCAGAATGGCTACAGTCCCCAACGAGCCAGGTATAGAGGATCTAGCAACCCCTTGGATCTTCTTCTTTTTTTCTTCTTCGTCTCTCCGCCCTCTATCCTCTCTTTAACCTTTTCTCATCCTTCCTTCGGTACACCGTTCTTCCTTCCCTCGACAAATCACTGCGACACGCGACTCACTCTCTCTCTCTCTCTCTCTCTCTCTCTCTCTCTCTCTCTCTGATCCTCGCTTTCTCGCTACACTCCCTTTCACTCTCGCTCTCCCCATTTAAAGATTCACTCCTACCGGGGGTTACGCCACGTGCCCCCGGTATACGATTCTTATCCGAGGTAAAGGGTTGTTCACTGACCCAAAGGGTATACCTACAACGTTGCTGCATTTGTCATGACGTCACGAGTCCGGAACGACGTTCGAACGTCTAGTTAAAGCCGGTATTTCTCATTCGGTGGTAAATCAGTCAAGATCTCTAGGTCGTTACGTACATTGCTGTTGGTATAATAAGCACTGTATACATTGTATGTATACCTATATATATATATATATATATATATATATATGCGTGGGAAAAATAAACGGCCTTGCACCGGGCATCGGAAAGCAGCAACGTAGCGTAATAAAAGTCATAACTCGGCGTAAGCCTGTAGAACGA